TTTGACATAAGATGTGAAGAAACGCTTGGTTTGCACCTATATCAAGCAAAAGAGTCATGGAAGCTTCAGAGCGTGTAAGTGGAAACCATATGCAATTACGGATGAAGGACAAGGAATTGTAAGCAATGACAACAATTTGTCCACTTCTTCCACGTCTTCTCTATAAAACGACCAACATGGTATATTTTAAATTATTTGATATCTAACCAATCCACCAATGGACCGATTTACTGATCGACTAACAAAGCCACTGGGTGACTGTCTGGCTACCTTACCCTAGATGATCACTATCACTTCGTTTTTGCATTGGACAATCCTGTACAATTTGGTCAGTTCGTTGGGAGGTGAAAGCGAGATGGAAACAAAGGTGGTCAGCACAGTTTTGCGTTTTCAGAGGCAAGACCCTACATCAAGTGCACTTGATGTATATCTCTTGGAGAAGGCATTAGATTAGGTATTGCTTGAGTTTGTCCCTTTGTTCTTTCCTCTATGTTATGCACATGAAGCGGATACATTCGAAGACGATTCCTTGCGTCACAAGGACGCACACTAATGCACGTTTGGGACTACGTAATTGCCTTCTCTTTAATGTTGCTATGTTTTGTCTCACCTCTGTACTTCCACAGAATAGGTGTAAATGCGATCACCATTGGTTATTCCATTAAGGCATATTTATTTCAATATCACCTAAAATGTCACATGGTTCTACTTCATGTGTTTACTTAAAGTAGATGCACATCTAGGAAATATGCGCTTTTAAATGGAGCCAAATTACAAAGTGTAAAAGATTCTTCTCTACTCAAGAAAGGCTACTTTGCAAAATATTTGTAAAGGGATGCACAAACTTTCAATATCGCTAAAAATGTATTTGATCCAAGTAAACTAAACTCATCATGGTATTTAATGTAAGTGGTGTGTCCAAACTATTTATTTGTTGCTGCAGTTAAAATGCATTGGAGCAAAGTGTGCATGCGTGGGTGAGATAGCAAAGTGAAATACAAATCGTCGTGTGGATAGAAACCTGGTGTTTTGTTGCTTGTCCTGTTCCTCAAATGACGTGATATTCCGTGACGCATGATTCACATCAGCATTCATCCAGGGAAGCAATAACTCACCTCATTCAGCAGTTACAACCAGTAACCTTTCTGCTTAAGTAGGCTTCAGTTCATGAATGAAAAACGGAAATTCTTCTCCTCCAGATAGAGATGCAGGAAAGAAAGTGCATGTGATCGAAACCGAGAGAAGCAGAGTTGAACAAGATAAGTACCCTTAGTATGATCGCCACACCAATGTCTCTGACTTCCAAGGGACGATGGAGGAGAGTTATGAATCGTGCAATTGTGCTGGGATTCCTCAGATTTGGCGGAAACTGTGGTTTGAAGAAAATTGGCAAAATTGGTGGGACAGAGAAAAAGGTCGCCACGACTACAACTACCATCCACTTTTCCTACCGGGGGGAGAGGCAAGCGCTTCAATTTGGAGGATTTTATAATTGATGGAGTTGTAGATAGAGAATGCCTACTGAAAAGGTTCTTTAATGGCAAAAAGTGAGTAAGCGGGAACGTCACTTTATCCACAGAGCATCAGGAAGCGTTATCACTTCAACGCTTTTGACTAATCTCCACAATAAAAGCGGTGTAGTACTCGCTGTTGGTAAGAGGTGTATGTATTCGGAAGTTACATAACCGTCGAAATTATGTCTCTCAGCTGAATAGAAAGAAATATATGATAGAATATTACCGGAAAAGAATCTACTTTGCTCCATTTCCCATGATAATGCTGCTTGCAGGTCAATGCTCCACATTCTCTCTGCCATGACCTTAATTTTGGTGTCCATGTAACATCTACCAAAAGAAAGTAATATTTTTCAAATTCTGCAATAGGCACCTCTTGAAGACTTCAGTTACGGCGAATCTAAAATCATTCCTGCACCAATAAGGGAGAGGGAAGTGTCAAAAACCAGGTCATGGCATGAGACAGCTTAGTACAGACACTGTCGTTCAAGGTCAGACGAGGGGTGACAGTGCTGGAGCGACTGTGTGCAGGCCACGGCGTGTAGGTCCACTACCATCATAGCCACAATGACGCAGTTTGGCTGTCTGTCTTGCAAAGTTTCACTCCCACTCACAAATCTTACTGATGCAAAGCTATCCCAAATTGAAAACGTAGATACTGTGGTGGACGATATGTGATTATAAATACGCTTTCCCTTAACAAAAGCTGTTTATTTCCATGAACTAGGAGTCCTGGCATGGTTTGAACGCTCCCTGAGACTAGCATTTTAACATTCAATAAGCAAGAATTTTCCTAAACAGTTTCACTCCTCTCTTCTAACTTTCACAGAGGTGGCATTCCTATTGGGTTTCAGTGTTTCCATAATCCCACGCTTCATGGGAAAAATATTTCTGCCTTTAAGTGTGGATTCCAGTGTAATGTATGGTGCTGTTTTTGGTTCCTCCATACGCAATTTTGAACAATGTGTACACTCCTGCTTGGCGAATTCTAATCGAAAAGCTTCAGTATGAATGCATTTGGAAACCCTCCTTCCGTAAATTGATTTTGAAGCCTCGATTCACCATTTTACCAATTTCATTTTCAAAGGATACCAATTTACTCTGAAAAGTGAGGATTTTCGGACAATTGCTACCTTTGAAATGTGTAAATATACAGACCCCTTTTCTGCTTTATCACCACTATGAGGTGTCATGCAAATATTGAGTCGTTAGGACAACACCCTGATACTTCAGTACATCAGTCATTTGTGCATCCTGCTGGCAAAATGGCATATGCAGTATCACCACTCAGACTTCACTTTCTTCTTGCTACAGTGCCTTTGAAATTGCATCAAGAAATCGCAGGCAATCATGGGTTGAAGCCGAAAGTGGTTTACCATGGTGGATTTGATTGGCAAAGCAGCTTGCATCAACTGTTTGTGTCTGAGGAATTCGTCCAAATGGTTTTATGTTCGGACTATTGAGGGGTTGATGGATTGTAGGATAAACAGCTCCCAGTTGCCAACAGGTTTGCTGTCAGAGTCATCTACACGTAACCAGCATTTGTCGTCAGCTTAGGACAACTGGTTGTCTCAGCTGAGTGGAAAACAGCAAAGTGAACGCCCATGATATGGGTATAATACCATTCTTCTAGTTTTGTGTAGCAGAACTCCAAGAGGTGGAAGTCTATTGCGGGTCGAGGTGTTCTGTCAATTGCTGCTGCTCCGAGAGCCTGGAAGCAAGTGGAGTGGATAAAATAGTATGCAAATTTATTTATCTAGAGAACATAGTTTAAAAAGCAAAATAATGCACACGGTTATCATGTTCCACAAAGTTTTATCATTGCAAGACATATTCGGAAATTTCATGAAGTCCAAATCTGTTGTAGTACACACCTCTCGGCCATCCTGTGAGTAGTGACAAGGCATCACGCGTGAGGTTGAACCTATTTCACTTGCAAGGGCTGAACAATGCAGAGGACAATGTCAAATAAGTTACAGCACATCGGTACTCCATCCACTGCATCAACAATCAAATATGCGGCAGTAAGCATTAGACGCCTCAGTCATTTCCTTTGTTCCCTTGTACCCTAAACAGCTTTCCTGGGTTGTACGTTTGCATGTCTCTTAAGTAAAAAAGCTTTTGGAATTTGGCTGACAACTACCTCCTCAGGAAGCAAATATTAGTGCCCTGCGATTCTCCTTCCCTAATGGAGCCTATCCATCTATGAGCACAATTTCAAGTCCTCCAAAATGCCCCCAAACTTGGATCAAGTATTTCGTCACTAGATGTGGTATAGAACTACTCAGACACGCTTAAAAGTGGATTTCCAGGCAGAAACTAAATGCTGTGGCGTGGTTTCTGCAATGGCAGGTTTTATGCATGACCAGTTTCCCACGCTTTGGCAAATCAGCTATCACTCTTTGCCTCTGTCTCCCACGTTCTCTTCGCAGAAAACTGTTTGCTTTACCACAGTTTGGCAGTACGAATGAGTGGATGTTGATTGTCACAAAAGCTATTAAAAAGTAAATTCTTCTTGGCGCAAGAGAATGGTTTAATTGGTATGGCGGTTAAAACTCACGGAGAGTCAAATTGATAGACAAAAGGGAAAGCCAATGCAGTCAACGAAGCCAAAGGTTATGATAGGACCCTGTTTGAGATCTTAAGCCAGTTGAAAACACCCTGTTGAATGGCTAGTGTTAAATGTGTAAAAAGCATGGATCGGTGAAGGTACAATTTTGGTCACTTGGCTGTGGTTTAGGGCACTTCTCCACCTTTACAAAAATAAGAAGCCGCGTTGCACCCAGCATCAGTGAAACATTAATGGCGTCTGTGGAGGAACGAAACTTGCTCTAATGCTATACTCATTTATGTGGTCTTTTCAGTCTTTACGATTTCGAAGCGATATTGGCTCTACTATGTCCTACATAGTTCTGCCTTCTCTCAGCCTCTGTGGGCATCAGGGGGTAAACAACTTTTAACTGTAGATTCCCCTCCTTGTATCGCCATCCTTACCTCGTAACTTGGAATTCCCACCCTCAATGCAACGACTTGCAAATTTACGCATGTCAAACCCTATTGTTCAAGAGCCTAATAAATGCATAAGAAAGCAGTTGCTGTTAAGCGGTCATATGAACTTTGTTTGTTTATGCCACTGTGCCATTATTCTTTAACATTCTATCAATTTGTAACTTATCAAATCGTTTACTTTTCTTTATCGAATTTGTAATATCAAG